GCGACGCCGTTTCGTTGACTGTTGAAATGACTGTGACTCATCGGAAACCGCCACTCCAACCTGACGAGATTGCAAGTAGGTTGCATCTGGTGCTGTCGTGATCCCCTTTCATTGATGCACGCTTCCTTAGCCGTGAACGAGCCAGGCGTGCAATTCGAATGTGATTCATGCGCATGTGACCTGACACATACCATTCGCCTGAAGTGCGCCGACCCAGCTTGCCAGTCAGAGGATGGTGTGGATATATGCCCTCCGTGTTTTTGTTCGGGTAAGGAGTTCAGGAATCATTTGAGGAGTCACCCGTATCGCGTCATTGTAAGTGAGAACACTTCTGCGCAAATTCTGTCTCTTCGAATTGAAATGCACCTCCAGGAGTTTAACTCTTATCCGATATTCTCTTCCGACTGGGGAGCAGACGAGTGAGCCTACTGTCCTGCGACCGTTTGTCTTATTCGACCCCTTACAGAGAGTTGCTCTTGTTGAAAGGCATCACAAGCCATGGTCTCGGCAATTGGAAGAAGATCGCCGAGCACGTCGGCACCCAAACCAAAGAGGAGGTCGAGAAGCACTATAATAGCGTGTATGTTGATTCTCCAGACTGGCCTCTCCCTGTAAGTCTGTTGGGGCCAAGTCTATATACACTGACGCTGCTCAGAAAATGGACCTTCAATTCGATATACCACCGGAGGAATTCCAAGAAAGAAAGCGAAAACGAATATCAGCCATGAACGCCATGCTTGCTCCTCCCCCAAAAGTGGCGCCAACCTCCGCTCCGGGCATCCATGAAATCGCTACTTTTCTTCCGGGACGGTTAGAGTTTGAACACGAACTCGACAATGAGGCCGAAGATCTCGTCAAGGATCTTGAGTTCGGAGTGTGCCTGGAGTTTGGTGGCGACGAGATCATGGAGGACGAGAATGATCTCGACGTCAAGGCCCGACTCCGATGGGAAGAGGACAAGAGAAATGGAATTGTTCCTGGCTCTACCTTTGTCATACCGGAACGCAAAGCGGCGCACAAAGGAAAAGGACCAATGCCTCTTGTCAACGGCTCCTCTAATGGCATAGTGAACGGATTTCGGCCCAACATGAACGGCGACGTTTCTCCACATATAAAACAGTCATCGTCACAGGACGATGTGGTCATGACCAATGGTGCTGCGGACGAAGAGGCGGAAGAAGCCACGCAGCTCCCTCCCGTCGAGACGCAACACTCCTTAACATTCAAGCTAGCTCTTCTAGAGATGTATTCTCAGCGGATTGATAAACGCTTGGAGAGCAAAGCGCTCATGTTTGATCGAGGCCTTTTGGAATATAAGAAGGTACGGCAACCGATCATGTGCCCGTTGACGACCTTAATATTTTCCCAAGATGCAAGCGGCAGAAAAGAAACGCCTCAAGGAGGAAAAAGATATTATTCATCGATTACGGCCTTTTGCACGACTGCAGACCGCCGAGGATTACGAGTCTTTTTCCACAGACATACTCTGTGCGTATGTTTCAAACCACTCTCGCGCTGCGTGTATTTATTTGGGTTGATCGAAAGATGAAGCGATGCTTCGAAAAAAGATTCAAGATTTGCAGCAATATCGCCGTCTTGGCCTGTTGACGGCGGCTGATATCGAAAAATATGTGAATGATGTTGCTAAACGAGTTCGCCCATTTCTTCCTGCCCTCGACCATTGCCATCTCACACATCGATAGACTCAAATCAAAAGCAACCCACGGGAGTATTATGCTACTGAGAAACAGAACAGAGCCGGTGGTCGACAATCTTCCGGCCCCGATCGCTCAAGTCTGGCTCCCTTTGACTCAGAGGGTAGAAAGAGCCACGACCGCGAAGTGACACCGAGACTGGCTGATGTTGTCTCCGCGCCTGCGAATGCACGGAAACGAGGTACCTGTTCCACTTATATTGCTGCGGGTGTTTTTCATGCTATTTTCTAGCCCCGTTGAATCTGGCCAACAGCCCTTCGCTCCACCTCCTCACTCCTGTCGAGCAAACACTTTGCTCCCAACTTCGTATACTTCCCAAACCTTACCTTGTCGTGAAGGAGACGCTCGTCCGCGAGTACGCGCGAAGAGGTGGAAAGCTCCGTCGCAGAGAGGCAAGGGACCTAGTCAAGATCGACGTCAATAAGACAAGCAGAGTGTGGGACTTCTTGGCTCAGGCCGGGTTTTTGCAGATCAATGCGGAGCCTATCATAAGTCACTCCGCCCCACCTCCGGCAGCCTCAGTTGTATCGTCCGACCCTAGGTATATTGCCGCGTATTCATGGGCTTTCGGCTTCGCTGACCCCTTTTCAGTGCAATGGTTCCAGTGATAAACGGATCTGTTGCCCCAAGTTCGTCTGCCCCTCACACCACGGTTGCACCTTTCTCCGATACCCCCACACAGCCTCCAGGGCCTTCTATCGTTCCTTCGACCTGGGTACCACTCACTGAATCATAGAAGTCGCTCGTGCCCACAGTTGCGTTGTTCAATGTTGTACATATCAGGAATGATATATTTGATACCCTTTTTGTGTAATTCACTTTTTTAGCTGGGTCGACACATAGTTCGGCAGGCTTGATAAGCATACGGATCACCGCCCTCAGGTAAGCACGGCGGGTTTCCGACTTGCTTTTGTTCAAGCAATCAATCACTAAACAGTCTTGCTCATCCACCTTCTTACATGTGATTCCAACTCAGTTTGCTTCCTCATCGGATTGCTCACCGCTTACCGTCCAGAGCCAGTCTTGCTCATCCACCTTTATACATGCAGTTTGCTTGCTCGGAGATGCTATATAACAGGGCAATGAGAAGAGGTACGATGTCCACTCACCAGCCCAGTGAACAACAACTCTCTCTCTCTCTCAGCCCCACACTCGTAAAAACAAGCATCGATGTCTGCCCAATTCAACCGACTGCCCAAAGACTCCCGTATTCTCGTCACCGGTGAGTCTCTTTCGAAACAACGGCGTTTCGTGCTGACCCCGAACAGGAGGAACCGGCTTGATCGGATCGTATGTTGGCTCTGTTTGGCTTCGCTGTCCCTGCTACATTGATCGTTGTACTAGCTCCGTCACCACTCTTCTCCTCGAAAAAGGTTTCAAAGTCCGAGTTGCTACTCGGTCTGTGTCCAAGCAGCAGGCGTTCAGAGAAACACTTCAGGCCAAGTATGGTCAAGATTTCGTTGAATTCATCGAGATCGACGATTTCGCGAGTGCTCAGTCATGGGACCGCATGCTAGATGGTGAGTCCGAACGTCCGCATAACGCGTCGGTCCGCCCCGTCGCTGACTGCGACAGATGTCCAAGGTGTACAGCATCTCGCGCAAGATGTCTCGTTTACTACCGAATACGAAGCTATCATCTCCGCCACCAAGGCCATGACCACTACATTCCTCACCAGCGCTCACAGGCACAAGAGCGTCAAATCGGTCGTTCTCACTTCGTCTCGTATCGCTGTATATCAGCCCGAGCATGGCAAGGATATTCACGCAACCAAAAACGATTGGAACGATCACTTCATCGAGCTCGCGAAGAATGCCAAGTCAGACAATCCGGCGAAGCCCATGATGACTTGTAAGTCTGCCTTTGTTTGATGACCCGCCGTCCCTTGTCCTTTGGCTGATGAGAAACTAGATGCAGCGAGCAAAGTCGTCGAGGAGCGAGTCGCATGGGACTTCGTTAAGGAGTCAAAGGTGTGTTGGCTGGCACGGTCTAGGATCATATGTTGACAGTCCAGCCTCACTTTGCCTTCACTGTCGTCTTGCCGGACTACGTGGCGGGACCCGTTGCGAATCCCTCCCCCGGATCCTACTCGACTCACGGATGGCTCAACGACGTTTTCAAAGGTGACAGCTCCGGTACAGCAATCGGAGTCATGGATCCCGCCGCCCGACTTGTCGATGTTCGAGATGTCGCCGCTATACAAGTCGCAGCTATGCTCGACGAGACTGCCGATCATAGACGACTCTTTGCCGCTCCCCACAAGTTCACGATCGACAGGATCTTGGCGGTGTGGCGAAAGGCGTTTCCGGACCGAAAGATCCTGGACGACTTCAACTTCAAGGACCAGCCAATTGTCGATGTCGAGGACGAGGAGAGTACACATTTGCTCGAGGCGTATATGGGGAGAGGGTGGCTGTCGTTCGAAGAGACCGTGGTCGCGAATGCCCAGGATGTACTTTGACCCCTGTACGGATATATGATAATGCTATGGGTGTGATGTTGCATCATCTTGTACAGCTCTGACGCGCTCATAGCTTGCTGGCGGGTGACCTCTGATGATGCTGGATTTCGCAGACCGCACATCTTCGTACCGAAGGGCCACTGATGATATTCTACTGTGTCAGGTATGGCAAGAGGTAGCAGATCGTGGATTCCCGCACATTGATCAACATACGTAAAAGGCACGTGTTTCGGCTCCTTTTGGAACTTTCGTCAGCAGAAATTGTCGTTCAAGCCAGAAGAGCGCGACTGTGTCAGTCACTGTGAATGCTCTTCGCAGGTCTCTCTCGCCACTGCGTAGTAGAAACGATGTACTACATGGATACATCTTCCTTAACTACCGAGGTTGTCTCACCGGCTTCAGTGACTGTCGATAAGTTCGACACGCTCATGGTGTGGTGAACTGCTGGATATAGGCTATTTTGGAGGAGGCAAAAGCTGGTGCCGGTGCAAGTGAGCTTCGCAGAGCCTGTAGAGGCCGTACTGCAGTGGAATCGTCGAGGAGGACGCAGCTTTGTCGAGTGGCGAGGACAGACAGCGGAGTGATGGGACTTCCGCATTTGGGGGGGGGGTTGAAGTAGGTCAATACTTTTCCATATCGGGTGTGACAAGGCGGCCCGGTGCAAGACTAAAAAAAATACAGCTGGTTCACAAGAAGTTGGGAATGATTGGCTTTTACATCTTGTTTCAGACGGGAAGAGCCATTCTCAGTCTGAGCCTTTTGTTAGTGCAGTAAATGAAAGCGATGCAGAAAACAAAATTCAGCGTACGCTGAAAATGCAAAACTGGCCGAAGCGAGGATCGAACTCGCGCGGGCGTCCGCCCATCAGGAATCAATGGCTTAAATCTGACGCCTTAACCACTCGGCCATTCGGCCACTCATTTAAGAAATCCCGTGTACTACATCGGCTGAGTACATGTGTGACCATCTCACCCGGGCGTCCGACTGGCTATCTCGCTCGGCTAAAGTTCAGTTCTTGTTCGAACCCGGGATCCGGATTCCGACCTCGAAAGGGATTATCATAATAAGTATCATTGCCGATCACAGGGGCGTCACGGGACCGGGTGCGCCCTTGACATGGCTTTATGCTGGCTCAGAGTGTTGCGGACAACAAGGCGAGGGTACAGCACGTTGCCCTCCGCCGCCTACACAGATCCTTCCAAGGCACACGACCCCGCCGTTCGCAGTACACCCAACATCACACGTGCTCAACGGCATCAGCTCGATAGGGCTTTGCGCATTGACCAGGCAGGGGAAATCGCAGCAAACTACATATATATGGGCCAGATGTTCATATTCAGCAAGGACGATACCCTTAAACCGCTCATTCAAGTCAGTCTTTTCTCTCCAATCCGTCGCGCGTCGTTTCTTCCCCCAGATATCGCAGGACATGTGGGACCAGGAAAAGAAACACCTCGCAGTCATGGACAAGTTACAAGTCCAGCACCGTGTGCGGCCAACGCTGCTCTCTGACGTGGCCAAGGTTGCCGGCTTTGGCCTCGGAGCAGTAACGGCACTCATGGGCAAGGAGGCGGCCATGGCCTGCACCGAAGCTGTCGAAACAGTCATTGGAGAACACTACGACGAGTCAGCCGAGCCCAGTTTCTCCCCTGAATCTTGACCGAGACCTCCACATCTAGCCAGCTCAAAGAGATGGCATCACTTCCAACAGAGCATCCCAGCATCTCGTTATTGCGGGACGTCGTGCGAGAGTTCCGCGACGACGAGCTGGAACATCTGGACATTGCAGTGGAGCACGATGCACAGCGTGCCCCGGCACACGCTTTATTGAGCAGCATTGTCGGAGCCGGGTGCAAGGTCGCGATAGAGGTTTGCAAGCGAGCATGATGGCTATAATAATTATCCTCCTACGACTTTGGGCTGGCTACCAAAGACTGGTCCCGTCGTTTCCCGGCCCACTCCCATTTGTTCTGAGATGAATAAGGGCGAGCAGCAGAAGGAGTTGGGCCGCGAACCTGAGTTGCATGGAACACGAGAAACAGACCAATGGGAAACACCAATGCCCCCCAAAAGGAGGTCCGCACAGTTGTGTTCGTCCATCGAAAGTGCTTGTACTGGTTCTCTCGCTGGGCGGGTGCCGCTTCAGCTAGTGCTAGTGGTAGGAAGTCTGGCGGAGGACTTACCATAAGCGACTGCCTCTCAATGGCAGCATCGTGGACCTGCCAGCAAAGTCAAGGGCAAGTAATAGAGAGCCGGGACACCAACTTTTACATGAGCTACCGGGATTTTCAGCAAGAGGAGGGGCGCGAAAGAAGATACAAACCGTGCCCGGTCATTGAGTAGTGTTGCTGATAGTCCAGGTGCGAATAAGTGGGTATGTTATGTTGTTTGCTAGCATTTGTTACAATTCGTCCACAACCACCATCCGAATGGCTTACAACCGCGAATGGGACCAGGGAAAGACATCGTGGGCCCCGCAACAATCTTGGAATGCCCCAAATGTCCATTCAAGAGAAGACGACTACTACTCCGAAGGAAAGCGCCGCAAAATGACCGCCGGTGTAACCTGCCTCCTCCACGTCCTCCTTTGTCTCTTCTCACTTTCCTCAGGGCTATGAAGCCTCGCAGGCATATGCAGATAGCTCCTATGACACCGCCTCGTATGCTGGGCGGCCATCCGACGCTTCGCAGGATCACACGCAACGCGCCGGTGGCCCTATGATAAAAAAGCGCCTTCAGCCGTCGGAGCCGAGTCCTCATGTCATCTTCCTGGGACTGGACCCTGACTTCAGCGAGGCCGATGTCTGTCGACTTTATACTTTATATTCATCGTACTCTGTCACTGAAGCCGGACCTCCAGCTGCAGAAATACCTTTCCTCCAATGGCTGCAGCATCGAAACCGTTACAATCATCCGAGAGAGATCATCAGGCACTTGCCCATTCGTATCTCTGCTTCTGCACTTCCATTAATGTTGTTCGCCGTTGGATTTACAAGGTGCCTCCAAAGGCTTTGGCTTTGCGCAATTCCCGACAATCGAGCACGCCCGTGCGTTCGTGGATCCTTTATTCCCATTCATACAAGTTCCGCCTCCGGCGTCTCACGGGGCGTCCGCCACGGCGACATTCTACAAAGCCCTCGAGACGGGTCTTCCCCATAACGGGCGGAGAGTCAAAATCGACTACTCGCAGAGCGCCACTCCTCACGAAAAGGGCAGGATGAACCGCGGGAACATGAACGATGGCACCCGCGACATCGGCAATTCCCAAGCTGCTGTCTTGCTATTCCGTGGCCTTGATCCTCTCTCAGGTCCGCAAGCTATTCATCAAGCGATGCTGTCTTCATCCGGTCCTGGAAAAGAGGGCGCAAAGGGCATGAAACGCATTATCCTCATCAAAGACAAGGTCACTATGGCTAGCTTTGGCTTCGCATTTGTAGAATTTGTGGATCCCCAGGCAGGTGCCCTGTTCTACAGCCGATGATCGTGATCTGATACCTCTGAAGTCGGCGGCGGCGGTGCTCGCTGCGACCATGTCGCCACAAATCCACCCTTCCGGGTTTCGCATCTCGGACCGACCCGTTGCCGCATCCTTCGCCCATCCATATTCTTTCCAGCCCATTGCAAATCTCATGATCCGAGACGAAGCATGTATCCCATCTTCAATCAGTCTCGGAGGAGAAGAGGGCACATTGGTCCGGTATTGGGATGAGGGTTCCACAATAGCTCACCTCGAATTTCAAGTTGAGCAGCCTGTGCAGACGGCAGGGATTCAAACAAAAGAGAGAAAAGAAAAGAAAAAGGCGAAAGGTATCTTCTCCACTACTTTATCAAGGTCATCGCTTATATGCAAGCAGACGTGGAGCCTGCTCCTCGCAGTGTTCCTGCGGCACCATCGGCTCTTCCTGTATCCGACAAACCTGTGACATTGAACTTCAGCAAAGGGCTGGGAAGAGCTGGTCCAGGTATGACGAACGGCACTGCCATCATGGATATATTAACCTGTGCTTCTCGCACAGTGCCTGTCAAGGCAGTTTCGTTGGGTTTCTCCATGGATGATGGTGTGGCTGGGGAAACCGAGGACGATGATGAGAAGACCAAAGGTTAGGTGCCTGCCCTGTTCCCGAACCGATTTCTGACCTGGCTGGACAGCTCCTACTGGTAAAAAAGTAGCGCCCTTGATCGCGAGCAAGAAGGTACTGTATCTTGAGAAAGACAAAATCAAATCCTCCCATTGCATCTCCAATTTCCGGCACCACTCTGATCACGACGTGGCTTCTATTTGCAGACGGTCAACAATATCAACAAATGGAATCAAGTACAGGAGGAACTAACGAACGATACGAGTGCTGTCTTGCCGCCCTCCGCTCTGGTGACCCATCTTTCTTGGCTATGCCCTCCAGAAAATTGGGATGTCTTTGTTCTCATTCTGTATCCTCTGTGCAGGCGCCTTTGAAGAAAGCCGGGCCGTCCACTGTTACGACGGCTCCAGAACTCATACCTGCAGAAGAGGACTTTGAGTTTTCGGACGTTGGCGCTTTAACCTGTCTACTCTGCGCACGTCAGTTCAAGACCATGGACCAGCTGAAGCGGCACAACAAAGAATCAGACTTACACAAGGCTCGCATTTCACAACTTGCTTTCTGTCTATTTTCAACGATTCGGCTGACACTCGCCTTCTGTTCCTCCCCTGTCTTTTTTGTTTTGCACGTTGCTGCATCCGATTAGAAAAACTTCAAGAACGCTAACCTGCGTGATGTGGCTCGACAAAAGCTTGCCGCCCGACAAGTGGGCGCCTCTCCGGCGGACCAGCCGAAATATCGGGATCGTGCATCGGAGCGCCGCGTTCTCTTCAATCAACCGGATGCGCCCGTTCCCGAAAAAGACGCGAGCACGGGGGGCAACAAAAAACGCCAGGCGCCTGGCCCACCGCCTCCTCCATCGCCGCCGCCGCCTCCTGTCAACCCGGGCCAGGACGGTAACAACGTCGGCAACAAATTGTTGAAAATGATGGGTTGGACGGAGGGAACTGGTCTTGGAACCACGGGTGAAGGCAGGGTGGACCCCATGTTTGTGTCCTACGACGCATTAGCAAAATCTTCTGCTAAATTTTTAATCAGATCGACCGCTGTCTACGCACAAGGCGTTGGGCTAGGCGCAAGCAAGGGCAAAGACATTTCGAAGATTACGGAAGGCTCCACGAACTATGTTCACTTGGCCAAAGACGCGGTACCGACCAGAAGTCCTCGAGGAATGCGTAGTGCTGATGATGCCCCCTTTAGGCGCGCGAGCGGTACGGAAAATGAACCAATATATTATATAGCTCGTGTGGTATTTAAAGGGGTGGCAGTCTACTGGAAAAGACCGATCTACTGTAAGAGCGCGATCATCGCAAGCGCGACGAGGACCGGGGCAAACCCAAGATTGAGCTTGCTAGCGCCGTTTGGGCGAGTCGAGCCGGAAGGGGCAGGGGCCGATGACGCACCCGACGCAGTGGAGGCCCCAGCAGAGGCGCTGCGAGTCGCCAGAGTCGACGTGACGACAGAGGAGGTGGCGGGCAACGACGTGGAGTCGGTGCCGACCTCGACGGTGAAGTAGTTAGCCTGCAAACACGGTCAGGCAAGGAGTCTTTTTACCGGCCGGGACGTACCGCGACAAGGTTGCCAAGTCCGCTGTTCTGCAAAAAGGAGTGAGTGGGCAGGGCAGGAAAGGAGCAGAGGGGCCGAACCTTGACGTAGGCGTTGAGATCAAATTTTTGGACGCCGTCCACGAGCTTAGAGAGATCGGCAGGGGCCGTGAACGTGGTGGGCTGCTGGTACAGAAGGACTACGTAACGATGGGGGCCGCTTCCCGACGCAGGACCGGGCCCCGCATATGCTGTGATGACCGTCGCGCTTGCGTTCGATAGAGCGCCGTCT